GATTTGCGGACCGTGTCGGAGATATGCAACGGCGCCATAGGCCTTTATACTTGCATCCGAGAAGACATGGAGCTCGGGCTTGGTATTGTTAGGATTGATTGTGATGGGGCATCTCGGAACGTTCATGGTCTCTGAAACAATGTCGATATCTTCGGCTATGCTTAACCACTTCTCGCTCAGTTCTTGTGAAAGTGGTTCGTCCCATTCGATATTTTGTAGCCACAATTCTTCTTGCATGAGTAACTTAGCTCTAATAGTAACCGGGGATAACAGGCCCTGTGGGTCATAGATCTTCGAGGAATTGCTGAGGACTTCTCTTTTGGTCGGTAAGTTGAGGGATGGGGAGATGTGTTTAGGGGTGAGGGACAAAGTGTCTGTCAATGTATTCCACTGGAGGCCGAGAACATTAACAGTAGTTTTAGTATCAGCAGTTCCTTCTTGTAGACAGAGGCTCTGAAGTTGTGGACTGTTGGATGCCCAAGCTCGAAGGTTGAAGTTACCAGAGGACATAATGGATCGTGCCGACTTGTAATAGTGGGTGACTTCATTTTCGGTGGGCTGTCCGGAAATGAGATTATCAACATATAGGTTTTCTTTCATGTCGGTAGCAATCTTTGAACTGTATTGGTCGAGGTGGGATTCGAGTGCTGAGCTGAGCATTAATGGTGAGCATGTAGCACCAAACAACACAACTTTGAATCGGTAGGCTTGAAACACGCTTTCGGGATCATCAGGTTGGGAAAGCCACAGGAATCGGGTACAGTCTCTGTCATCTTCGTGGAGTTGAACATGTAGAAATGCCTTCTCTATATCGGTGGAAAATGCAAATGGGTGGGTTTGAAAGCGCAGAAGAATTGAACACATATCATTTAGCGATGGTGGCCCTGGCAGAAGACAATCATTCAAACTTGGGTGGTCTGTTGACTGGCGGCAGCTACAGTCATATACAATGCGAATAGGTGTGGTGGTAGAGTCCTTTTTTACAGGATGGTGGGGGATGTAGTGGATCTTATCTGACATGTTGGTCGTAGACACCTTTTCAATGAATGCTTTCTCTTCTTGTTCTGCAATGATGTCGCTATAGGTCTTCAAGAGTTTGGGGTCCTGTCCAAGGCGACGAGCTAGAAGTCGTGTTCTCTTCGCACATACAGCGTAGTTGGATGGTAGTGGGCGATGCTCAGTCCTCCATGGAAATCTTGCACAATAAGTGCCATCAGGAGAGCGAGTGATGTTAGTTTCCTTGAAGTTCCCAATCGCAGTCTGGTCGTTGGTTTCTGTGGTCTTGTCACCTTGATTTCTTTTCTGAGTATTGTTGTCCCCCCCTGAACCAGTATGAAATGCAGCTGTAGCAGTGTGGGCAGGACTAAGCTCTGATTTAGTTTTGTCTATGTGCAGACCAGCTTCAAGGATCTTGATTTCTTTAAGGAGGGCATCTCGCAGTTGGTCAATTGACCATTCTAAGGTGTGATGTTCTCGGGCTAGGTTTCGCCTAACTTCATCTGGTAATTTCCCCAAAATTATTGGTATAAGAAGGGCCCCATAGGAATCTTTTGACTGGCCAAGTGAGGCAAGGCCTCGGATGTGGTTCTCTATTGTGTCGTAGAAAAGCTGAAGACTTATGAGCCCTGTGTCGGGTTTGGGTAGGTCAAGCAAACGTTGCATGTGTGCATTGACAATCTTTTGTTGTTGACCAAAACGCTCAATTAGGAGATCAATTGAATGTTTGTAGTTGGCACTTGTGATAGGGAAACCTGCTATAACTCTAGCTGCATCACCTGTAAGTTGAGCCTTTAGATAGTTGAATTTTTGAACATCATGCAGTGTGTGGTTTAAATGGATGGTTGTCTTAAACGAGTCCCAGAAGTTTTGCCAGGCAATGGGGTCCCCAGAAAATGTAGGTAGGGATAACTTTGGCAGTCGACTAACTGATGGATAAGAACCACTGGCACTGGCACCATTGTTATTGTTATTTATCAGTGTTTGATTTTGAATAGTGTTGTTGGAAGCTGGGGTTTGCCCTGTTTGGGAATTGGGTCCAACTGGGCTTTGACTCATTTCTGGTTGATGGATATTTTCCTGTTGAATAGGCTGTTCTGATTGAGGCAAGGTTTCTGGGGATGACTCATTAGTGTTATTGGATGATTGTACAGTAACTTTAAGCTTTAATTCGTTTCGTTTTATCTCAATAAATGTGGTAAGTTCACTGTACCTTTCGTCGATTGTGCTGTGCATTTCTTCCGTTTCAAAAATCTCACATTCAAGGTCTTCGGGTTTGGTGATAGCTTTCGCAATTTGTTCATCGAGTGGTGATAAGATGTCTTTCTTTCTTTTGAGTTGTTGACAATAGTTTTCGAGCGTGGCAATGTGAAGTTCATCGATAGTCGTGGCGGATTTCAATTCTATAATCTTCTTGTAAAGTGTTGTGAGGTGTGCTCGATAAGCTTTTCGGGACGCTCGAAGTCTTTGTAATTCTTCCATAATACAACTGGTCACGGCACCAAAATGTGGATTGTTTATATGAATATATTTGACTTCTTAATACAAGACATAACTAACATAAAGTCCCAAAACTATGGTCCAAAACGGTCGTTTTATATGAATGTTACGAATCCCAAAACGTGTTCGTAAAGCGAGCACTAACGCGCATGCGCAAGCAAATACTACGCTTAAAAGTCATATAAGATTACAGGTAAACTACGTGAAGCGTTCCTCTTTTGAGTTTCTAAATTGATTGCAATTTTCCTCATTACTTTTGCAATTTAAAAAACTCCCTTGCAAATCCCTTGAGGGAATTTGCAATGTTGCAAAGCCAAAAAAATTTTCCTCAGTTCCTGTTAGAAGTTCTTAACTTCCTGTTACAAGTTCCTAACTTCCTGTTCTGTTCTGGGCGTTGCAATTGGCTAACAAAAATAATCGACCAATAACAACGCTCAGAACAGAACAGGAAGTTTGGAAATTAAAACAGGAAGTTAGGAAAATTTAAAATGAAGTTTGGAATATTGCAACAGCCGATAGGAACATTGCAAATTCCCTCAAGGGATTTGCAAAGAGTTTTTCAAATTTGCAAAGCTAATGCGGAAAATTCCAAATGAGTTACGAAGTCAAAAGAGGAACGCTTCACGTAGTTTACCTGTAACTATAGTGTCCTTTAACAAACTATGCATAATTCTCGACAACAGTATATACCATAACACAAAGCTTCAATAAGGCGTCTTCCTCGCTCGCAGATTTCACTTGAAATTGGAAAGAAATTATATAACGAATTTCATGTTCATATCAACAATGACGAACGTTGCAGTTAACACTCGGTTGTTCATGTATTGTTCATTTCTTAAGCTCTAGTAGATCTTGTATTCTCATTGCCACAGTTTCTTCGAAAATCAAAACAGCTTTGAACTTGTTTGATTTTGTTTGAGGCAGTTGTTGAAATTTTGTTTGGCTCAAAATTGAAAAACAACTAAACATGATTACGTGATTGATATGTTTGTAATATTTCGCCCAATTGCAACGAGGAATGATGACGTGTGCACACGCGTTTATCCAATCAGATTAAAGAAATATAGCGATAGCACACGTCAGCAAATTGGAATTAGGATTTTGGAAATCGGAACTTTTAAAAAAAAAATAAAACAGCGGCTTTTGCATTTTATAATAATCAGAGAATAGATACTATGGACTATAATCTCTCCTATGTGATTTAATATTGCCACCAATGACAATGATTAAATGAGAAAGTGAAGCCGGAAGTGTCCATTTCGTGTGATTTTATATCTTTTTACTCACATTTTCGGTTTGTTTCCCAACAACAGGCTTGTTGAAACTTGTTGTGACAGGACAAAAATTGTTTGTTGTGGACAGGTTTGTCGCAGGTCTGATAACAAGCTTGCTGCAGACTTGACAAAAACAACTCGCGACAGGTCTGTTGGAACAGGTTGGAACAAACCTGTTGATTTCAACAGACTTGCTGCAAGTTGTTCTATCAGACCTGTTATCTCTTGTTAGTAACAGGTTTGTAGCGGGTTGTTTCAACAAGTCGCTACGGCCAAAGATTAGATACTATAAAGATGTGTCACTCGACGTATTTCCCTAATGTTTGCGTGTCCGTAATTTTCCGTGCTGATCACGAGTGATCACGCGAGATGACGAGTGCATAACACTTACTGCCAAAATGGCGGCGAGACTGAATACAATAGGTTGCCATCGCGATGCTCGCGCTATATGACGAATTTTGACGAATTTGACACTTACTGGCAAAATGGCGGCTATAAAAAAATCTCGGACATAATTTTCGCAGAGTGACACATCTTTATAGTATCTAATCTTTGCTACGGCTCTGTTGTCAACAGCTTGCGACAGACCTGTTACCGCAAGCCTGTTACCGCCTGACGAAACCAACAGACCTGTCGCGACTTGTTGACAACTTGCCGCAGGCCGGTAAAATCAACAGCTTGCGACAGGCCTGTGAGATTTCTGGCTGTGTAGACTTATCAGTGCCATTGAACTATAAATAAACTGGAAGGCTAACTGCTATGATGAAGGCCTATGATTTGATGAAGCCAAAATAGTTTTTCTGAGTTATGAGCAGAAATACTTTACCCCAAACGTCGTGCTATTTATCAAATTGAAGCTATTGAAAATTGCTATTCGGTGTGGAAATTTCAAGACTTCAGCGAAAAGAAAAATATTTAAAAAATACAAAAACAACTGCAAAACGGCAAATTATCGGTAATTATGTTTGTAGTTTTTCAATATTTCCCTTTTAGCTAAAGTCTTGAAATTTCTACACCAAATAGCGTTTTTCAATAGCTTCAATTTGATATATAGCCCAACGTTCAGTGTTGAGTATTTCTGCTCATAACTCAGAAAAACTAAAATGCACTGGCTTCAATTTCCCCCCCCTGAGTTAGCCTTCCAGTTTATTTATAGTTCAATGATCAGTGCCACTCCCCCCCCCCTGAACTTGAGTGTGAAGTTTCGAAATGTTATATAAAGAAGTAGTAATAAGCACAGAAGAGATAAGGGGTAATAAGCTGGGATTCTGTGGCTGGGACGGTCAGCACTTGTTTCCAACCACCAAACTGACATGACGTCATTTTCAGAAGATTGAAGAGGTGTTGAATGGCTATGTAACTAGCCCAAACCCTACCCCTACTCTAACCCCTAACCCTAACCGCAACCCTAACTCTAACCCTAACCAAATTAATTAAAAAATCCAAAAAGAAACAACTTTAGAAATTGATCAAATGACGTAATGTCAGTTTGGTAGATGGAAACAAGTGAAAACCGGCTGGGACGTGCACAAATCCGGGGGTGCATCTAATCTTTTCGAAACCTGAGAATCACAGTTTTTGAGGGTGTCAAACTGGAATGGTTTTACAATATGATGGCTTTTTTAGTTTTGAATTTTATTCTGGTAGCAAATTTAATAATTTAGTTTGTCATTATATATGTTTATATTGCCATCTATATTAAAATTTGATTGCGTCAATATAATTTTCGATATTATAATCATGTGATAACTCCTGGAATTCCTGCTGCTTCCGCCTACCAGTTTGCTACGAGAAAAATTCGCGAAATGAATTCGTTATTCTCTGCCCTGTAAAATATTTATCTGTGGTGACAGTGAAAGTTGGAAAATTCAAAACTGTGCACATTGAAGGTATGTTTTACATGCTCTTAATATATATAGTTTAATATTATATTTCAACTGTTAGGTAATTTGCATACCTAATTGCATACAATCCGAATTTGACACAAAGGTTGATGAGGTCCACCACTGACAATTACAAAATTGTTCCAACAAGTAGTTGATGGCAACATATAAGCTCTGAGCAACTTGTTACAAACAGCCTGTATTATATGATATTAGAATGTTAGGGTTTGGAATCCAAGTGAGAATATATACATTTTAAGACCTAACCAGGAACGACTGTGAAAAATGCAGCACAAGGTCCTCTGGTAGGAATTGAACCTACGGCCCTGCGATTCCGGTGCAGTGCTCTAACCAACTGAGCTACAGAGGCCAGCTGTTAAGCTGTAACCGTAAGTTCATGTACACCCGATTACCTATACATACATGAACTTACAGTTCATGTACACCCAATTACCTATATATACATGAACTTACCGTAAGTTCATGCACACCCGATTACCTATATATATATGAACTTACGGTTACAGCTTAACAGCTGGCCTCTGTAGCTCAGTTGGTTAGACCGCTGCACCGGAATCGCAGGGCCGTAGGTTCAATTCCTACCAGAGCCGGACCTTGTGCTGCATTTTTCGCAGTCGTTCCTGGTTAGGTCTTAAAATGTATATATTCTCACTTGGATTCCAAACCCTAACACTCTAATATTAATTCCACCAAGTGAAGTGCAAGAATCTAAGTCATGTATTATATGATGGTGATGTTACTCTGAATCTGAGTGTATATCCACACCGGGCAGGCTTGAAAAATATGCCTGGCCACGGTGGGTGACCTGACCGCATAACTCAGTTGGCAGAGCATTGGGCTAGTGTTCCAAAGGTCGTAGGTTTGATTCCCATCGTGGCCAGGCACATTTTTCATGTCTGCCCGGTGTGGATATACACTCAGAGTAACATCACAAGCATCTTATTCACCTGAGTGCACCACACCAACACAGCAAATACCCTGTATTATAGTTTTGGTTGCAGCTAGGAACAACAAGTCTGTAATGGTAATCAACCTTGTAATTACAATTAAGTGATAACAACTTGTTCCAGACTCGTTACAACAATTACTCATGAGAACAAGCAGTATAAACACATGCTGTGGTGACAGTTAAAGTCATGATCTTGAATTTGAACATACCAAAGGCATATCAATAAAATATTGAATGGGCCGGAGCATGTAGATTTATAGAGTTGAGCTAATGCATGAGTCAATTCCAGGAGTAACCATCCCCCCCCTCCCCCCTGGAACACACCCCGGAATTTAATTTGATTGGTTACGATAGTGCAAATGCCTGGGTGCTGGGACACAACTAGGAGATTAATGCACGGCCCTTGGGCAAGCTGAGAGTGGAAAATGCCCCACCCCACGACATGTAATTTTAAAATAATGTTAATTAAACTTTTAATGGCAAATTAATAGACATAGTTGATTTAATAACATTATACTATTAAACTGCTATGGAATATTATAAAACTTTAATATAAACATGAATCTTTCTGGTTAAAAGTATTTAATTACTGTAAACAACGAAATCATAAACGTACCTTTAATAGTTGTATTTAAATTCGCATTCGCACAGGTAGTAATTTTCACAAAAATGAAACCATTTGTCAAATCCCGACCCTGAGGGTCTCAGCTACTATAACAATACCCGGCTCCGGTGCACGTATAATACAGGCAAATTCCTGACCCTCATGAACTGTCTATCAGGCAAATTCCCGGGGGTGTTCCGGGAGGTGGGGGGGGGGGGGGTCTATGTTTCAATTTCCATGCAATTCCCAAGGGGGAAGAATGTGATTTTGACTGGCAATTTTTATTTGACAAGTATGTGGCCATTTCTCATTATTTCAATTTAAAAAGAGTATCAATTGAAAATTTAGCTAAATAACTGTTCTTTCGTCATATGTAAAAATTGCATGAATTGTTTACATAGCCACATTTATGATGCATGACAGCCTGTACGTTGAATTTCTTTTGTGTTTTTGTTGAGACACCCTGTAGTTGCAAAATCCTGATATTAATTATAACATAGTCAAGCCTACATGTATCTTTCTTCATAAAAAATCATGTTGTGCTTCCTTAGCCTCTCTCCCCCAAACCAATGTTGATTGAGCTTGTACACAGTCATGGTAATCATTGATTGGATGGTCTCTCAAAAACCGTAGTGTGACACAAGCGATCTGGAATCCAAGTACTGGAATCCGGAATCCAAGGAGCAGAATCCGGAATCCCAAGAGAGGAATCCGGAATCCAAGGAGTGCATGGATTACCTTACATGGGCCGACAAGCGACATTAACTGCATTAAAATTGAACAAGACATATGAGATAATGAGAGTGATAGTATGTGTAGCATTACTCAGTGTGTCTGAATTAGTTTTACATGACATTTTCAACCAAAATTTGAGTGATACATTTGTGCGATAAATGAATGCGAGTTGCGTGATGATGCACATCATTACACAGCTTGTCTGAAACATGACAATTTCAGCAATACTTGGGGCCATACATTTGTCAGGCCTGATTTGGCCATTTGGGCTGTATTATGGCCGGACAAAACTTCATTGTTTTATCTTGGTCTTTAGATCGATAAGCTCCTCTCTGTTAACACTCTTCAATAGGTCCCTCTCTGTTGTCCCCCTCTTCAATAGCTCCCCTCTTTATTGAAACCCTCTTCAATAACTCCCCTCTATGTTACCACCTCTTCAATAGGTCTCCTATATGTTAACCCCTTCTTCAACAGGTCCCTTCTCTGTTAAGCCCCTCTTCAATAAGCCACTTTCTGTTAACCCCCTCTTCAATAGATCCTCTCTCTGTTAACCCCCTCTTCAATAGATCCTCTCTCTGTTAACCCCCTCTTCAATAGATCCCCTCTCTGTTAACCCCCTCTTCAATAGATCCTCTCTCTGTTAACCCCCTCTTCAATAGGTCACCTCTTTGGTAATCCTTTCTTCAATAGGTCCCTTCTCTGTTAACCCCTCTTCAATAAGCACCTCTTCTGTTAACCCCTCTTCAATAGATCCCCTCACTGTTAACCCCTTTTTCAATATATTCAATAAATCCCTTCTCTGTTAACCCCCTCTTCAATAAGCCCCTCCCTTGTAAATTCCTCTTCATTAGCTCTCTACTAACCCCCTCTTCAGTAGGACCTCCCTGTTAACCCCTCTTCAATAGGTCCCTTTCTGTTACCCCCTCTTCAATAAGTCCCTTCTCTACAGTAGTAAGTATAAGTATCAAGATTTTTGTGGCATCTTACTCGAATGAATAATATTTGATAGGTATTCTAGATGGAAATTGTCGAGTGGAAATTTTTTATACATTTTTTACATCTAACCAGGAAGAGAAGCGAAAAATGCAACTTTACATGTCCCGGGCAGGAAATAAGTCTGAGATTCCGGTGCAGCGCTCTAACCAACTGAGCTACAGAGGCCAGTTGTCGAGCTCTAACAACATGCAAGTTCATGTAATTATATATATATATATATATATATATATATATATATATATATATATATATATATATATATATATATATATATATATATATATATATATATAACAGCTCATATACGGTGACATCAGATTGCAGAACAGCTCATATACGGTGAATGACTATATTTTGTACTATTACGCTCCTTCACTTCGGTGTTGTTGAGCACTCTGCGGAGTTGTTAATGGATGTCTATTAGCGATAATGCAAAGCTCACTTCCCTTGTGGTCGTTCGAGCACTCTGGCTCCATTACGCTCTGCGCATGTCTGGATGCGTTGAGTCACCGTGTTGTACCACATGCCTTGGTGAGAGCAAGTTCATGGGGTATAAATACCAGTGTCTCACGTATCTAGACGTGTACCAAGCTGCACTGACGAGGCGTTGAACGCCGAAACATGCATGTCTGCAGATTGTACTATATATATATATATATATATATATATATATATATATATATATATATATATATATTTATATATATATATATATATATATATATATATATATATATATATATATATATATATATATATATATATATATATATATATATATATATATATATATATATATATATATATATATATATATATGTGACAAATGCCAGTACTCTGCTCAGCCGACAAGACTTCATATGTAACAAACAGAACGGCTACGTTTGAAGAAGTTTATTAAAAAAAAAGGTATATTAAATACAAAAACTAAATTTTCGGCTGCATGCCACAGCCTTCTTCAGAGTGCCTATAGCTTTACACAGAACATACTTATATACAATAAATTATGAATAAATTACTATTGTTGGGCGAAATCATGACTACCATTAAGGCCTTTCCAGTTGGTCAACAACATTCCTATCCAAAAGTTTTCACTCTTAAGTACTTCACTATGGTGTTGGTCAATAAGCATAAATTTTAAGCTCGAATGATCCGCCTCATGCACATCAATAAAATGATTTGTTATACTGCATGTCCGGCGCTTATGCTTAATGTGTGATTTGTAGTTAGCTAGTCTGGACTTAAAATTGGCCGTGGAGCCAACACCTTGCAAACCACAAAGCACACACTCAGCAAGATACACTACATTACTGGAAGTGCACGTCAAAGATTTTAAAATGAGAAATATCCTTCCAGTGGCAGCTGCACGAAAGGAATTGCCAAAAATCAAAAAGTTCTTACAACTATCACAGCGCTTGGCATCACATTTGTAGCAGCCTTCACCTTCCAGTTTATTAGGCTTATATGGGTTAGATGGTGCTAATAACTCCTTCAAATTGGCATTACGCTTATACGAAACAAGAATGGCACCCTCCGGTAGAATTTTTTTGGCCTGTTCATCACTATCTGAAACAGAGCGATGTTTACGAAAAATTTTTTGAATATCAGGAGCACTAGGATTAAACTTGGTAACAAA